TGGCCTTTGAAGTCAAGAGAAACAAACTGCTGAGAAGCAGCCTGCCTTTCCTCTGATCTCCGAAGACAAGATAAGCAGATTCTGCCTGTTAACCAGAGATTTTAGGAGCTGTTTTAGTACAGCAGCTTTTCCCTTGTCTTAGGAGGACAAAAAAGTAAACACTTCCTGACCCAGATCCTGGCTGGCAGACCAGGCATGCACCATTATGCTCGGTTTAACCTTTTAAAAATTTTAAAAAGTTTTGTGCCGGGCATGGTGGTGCACGCCTTTAATCCCAGCACTCGGGAGGCAGAGGCAGGTGGATCTCTGAGTTCAAGGCCAGCCTGGTCTACATAGTGAGTTCCAGGACAGCTGGGGCTACAGGGAGACCCTGTCTCAAAAAGACCAAAAAAAAGTTTTTTTTGTTTATGTGCATTTTGTGTGTACTTGCTTTTCTGTATGTGAACTAGAAAAGGGTTTTGGAACATCTGGAACTGGAGTTCCAGGAGTTACTTACCACCTGATGTGGGTGGTGGGAACTGAATCACTGAGCTGTCCCTCGAATCCTCCCCTCCCCATCTTAACTTTTTCAGGGTAAGTGGGGAAACAAGCTCTCTTAGTTAACTATCTTTTATTTTTGGGTGTGTGTATGTGGGGAACACAATAAATTTCCCTTAGATTTAAGACAGAGGGTAGTTCGCATGTTGGAACAAGACCACCCAGAAGCTAGGCTCTAGCTCTCCTAGTGGGAGACTGGGTAGCTAACTTCTTAATATTTGCATTTCAAAGAAATAGATGGCTCACAGGTCCTAGAGTTGCTGAGTTGTGAAACTGGCAAGAGTCTTATGAAGGCTTTAGAAGAATTAACATATGCTTACAATGGTATTGACCAACAGTACTTATATTTTTCCATTTGAGGATCTACAAGCAACAGGATGCAAGAACTGGGGGGGGCAAGGGGAGGGGAGGGTGGGGGCCAAGATGGGGCTACAATAACAAGTTACAGACCAGCATTAGGAAGCCCTCTGAATTTCGAAGTTGGATGTTGGATCTTTTCCCAGACTGTGCACATAGCATCTTATCTTAGTGCTGGCCAGGGGCGGTAAGCCCCAT